CAAATCTGACATCTATAAAATTTTATTTAATATTACCTTCTCGAAAGCAAATTCAACTCTAGGTTAAATATCCTGCTCTAGTCGATCACAATATACGACTCAATCCGGATGGCACATGGTGGGCACCTGATGAATTGCCACCACCTTCAATGCGACAAGATTACGCTTCTGCATCTACCTCGCACATTCTTCCATCTCTTTATCCAAGTTTGATACTGAAAGGTGCAGGAACAGGAGCTGGTGGCCCTATCGGTCGTGGTTATCATCAGCATCCTGAGCGATCAATACCAATTCGTCCCCCACCACCATATTCAGCAGTTTCTCATGATCACCGCAGTGTTGGTGCCGTAAGGCAACCGCTGACACCTCGGGACGACTCGGTAGATTTGCAGAAACGATTGGATAAACTCAAAGAAGAGCGAGCATTTCTGGAACAAGGTGATCAGCGATTAAATATATCTAAATCACATATCACTTAATCCATCATATTATTAATAGATGTATCGACATTGAAAAGTTACCTGGATTACCTGGTAACTTTCAGGTAACTTTTCCTAAAAGTTACATTGAAAAGTAACACGGTTATTCATTAGATTGCACGAAATCAACGATGATTTGATATCAGTGAAACAAAAAAATTTACCTCTTTCTCGTGTTGATTTGTACTGATCAAATTTTGAACTGAATCGCATACGTCAACTATGGTTTCAACAGGTATCAACAAGTAGAAACTCTGATTGAAATTCTGATATTGAATGAAACTCTGATGCAATGAGCATTCCGTTGCATTCAAATGGAATTCGTTTATCACACATCACATATCATTTAATCCATTATATTATTCAGCAGTTTCTTCTCATGATCCTCGCGGCGTTGATGCCGTAAGGCAACCGCTGGCACCTCGGGACGACCCGGCAGCTATGCAGAAACGATTGGATAAACTCAAAGAAGAACGAGCATTTTTGGAGCAAGGTGATTAACNAAAATATATGTAAATGTTTTAAGGTACATACATCAACTATGGTCTCAACAGGTATCAACAAGTAGAATAACTCAAGTTATTGAATGGAAGTCTGATACAATGAGCATGAAAGCAAAACATGAAAATTTCGTTGAGTTTCATGAGATTGCCTTCACATATATACATGCATATGTACATGGTTTAACAAACAGTCAAATAACAAGTATCAACAACTTCAAGATGTCATTTGCATACTGAGCGTATGAAAGATCAGTGGAACATTACTACATTTGAATGATAATCACCCTGAAGTCTTTATTGCCGAATGAAGGAACGCAGGTATGTGTTGGTGACTGATCGATTTGTGAATTGTAGGATCAGTGAAGCCAGCAGCGAGCGTGACTGAAATTGAAGAACGTTTAGCAGCTCTGCGTGGTGTTTCTGTTGAAGAGATTCGACATCCATCATTGGTACGAGCTGATTATTGTCATTGCTGGTTCATTTCGTTACGCTCAAACTGAACAATTTAAGCAAAAAAAACAATCCTTTGAAGTTTAACGTTCCTTCAAATACTCCAATTAGATTCATATGAACATGAAACATGTAACGGCGCCATTTTTGAGTGTTTTTAGTCGGTGCTAAAAATTGAAAAACATGAAAAATTAGCGCATCAAGAGAAGCAATTCTCAATGAGTTCAGATGTTCACGAGGAGGAAAGATGAACAAGTGAAAGGCGAAACCGTGACGA